CACCTCGGTTCTGATCCTGCTCCTCACTGTTTACCTTCCCCAAACTTTCAGAAGTCCTTGAGCTCTGCATGATGTCAAGGCCCATGAATGGTTTACTCACGGGAAAGTAGCAGCTACTGACAATCCTCCCCTATACATTCTTGTATCTCAGATCCATTCTCTGCATGGCTGCTGGAATGATCTGGAAACATAAATGGGCTTACTCAACTCCACTCTGCTTAAATCCCTTGGTGACTCCCAGCTGCTCTGAGGGTAGAATCTGTTATCATCATCATCATGGCTTGGGAGTCCCTGTATGGCCCAGCCTCTGCTCATCTCTCCAACTCTTTTTGGACCACACTCACTCCCCTCTAGTCACCCAGATTTCTCCGTTCCTGCATGCCCACTGTGACCCTCTAGCCCAGTGATGGCGAACCTTTTGAGCTCAATGTGTTAGCATTTTGAAAAACCCTAACTTAACTCTGGTGCCGTGTCACATATAGAAATCAACCCTCCTCCCCACCCTCAAATCAATTCTCCATGCAGCAGCCAGAATAACCATTTTAAGAGGTAAGTCAGATCACCTCTCCACTCTGCTCAACCTTCCATTGCTTGTCGTCACACTTGGATACAACGGCTTTGGAGTCCCTGTATGGCCCAGCCTCTGCTACCTCTCCAACTCTTTCCTGGACCACACTCACTCCCTTCTAGTCACCCAGATTTCTCCATTCCTGCATGCCCACTGTACCCCTCTAGCCATACCACCACTGCATACGCTGTTTCTTTGTCCCAGACATGCTTCAACGCCACCTCTTTTTTGGACCTAGTAGACACCCACTTTTTCTTTAGCTCTCAGCTCAATGTCTACTTCTTCCAGGCAGCCTCCTGGACTAAGTCAAATATTACCTTTGTTCACCCCCCAACACCAAGTTTCACTTCTTTGAAGCAGTTACCCACCCAAAGTCATTCTACATTTGTGTGGGTGATGGTTTTATGAACTTCTGTCTTTTCCAATAGACAATGAGATTCGGAAGGCAGTGCCTAATATGGTAGCTGAAACATGGTAGGCACTTGGGAATAGTTGGTGAATGAATGAATGAGTGAATGAGTGAAGAAATGAATTAGTACAGACATTAGTTCCCCTTGTTTAAGTCATTAGCTGCAAATGACCCTACATAATTTTTTAAAAATTGATCTTAGAGAGGCGGGGAGAGAGAGAGAGAGAGAGAGAGAGAGAGAGAGAGAGAGGAGAGAAACATTTCTTGATTGCCTCCTGCACATACCCTGACTGGGTATCCAACCCGAAACCTGGGTATGTGCTCTGACTGGGAATTGAAAGCGCCACCTTATCATGTACGGGATGACACACCAACCAAACGAACCACATCAACCAGGGCAACCCTACATCATTCTTTAGGAAAGACCGGTGTATCCTGCCCCAGCACACAGGTGCTCCACAGGCAGGCAGCTATTGGCAGTGCTGGCCAGCAGCCAGGTCACTGACACCTCCTGAGGACTTGGTGCAAAGCCAAGGTGAGGAACAGCTCCTGCTCATCTGTAAGGGGGCATCAATGGAGCACCCAATCACGGGGCTGTGGAGAAGATTAAGTAAGAAATAATGTGTAGGAGGTTTTGCACAGTGCCTGGTATAGAACAAGTGCTCATGTGTCTATCCGTTCTTCTTTTAGTATCTTCTTCCTCGCATTGTCTGCCAATGTACTCCCCTGGAGTGAATGATCTGGAGCCAGGACTGCAGTCCTGAGTTTGCCTGCACCTTCCTCCTTTCTTCTTTCTTACAGGTGTTGTTAGCTGGGGCTCTCGTTGGCCCTGCTGTTCTGACCTGCACAGGCTGTTGCTGTCCACATCTTCGTGAGCAGGAGTGTTAACTGGGAACATCATTCTGGACCAACACATGAGTGTGGAGTGAGGGGCTTTGCAGGGGAGCAGGCCTGCGGATCTTGGTGCACACTGAGGATTGGGGCCTTGGCACACCTCTGCGGAGAGCAAGTGAGGCTTAAGAGAAAGGAATCTCTATGGGGGCCATTCCCATGATAGGGAGGCATGAGCCTTGAACTTCAAGGTTGAGAAACCTGGATTCAAATTCTGCCTCTCTGCAGGAAATATATTTCTTGAGCATTACCTTTCCAAATAGGGTAGGATTCGGGGGCACATGACAGAGGTGCCACCTCCAAAATGCATCCTATACGGGCACATTTCTCCACTCCAATGCTCTCACCTGAGTTCACCATAACCTCTCTCCTCTCCTGCTGCAGATGCTGCTGGTCTCCCTCCTTCCACTTTCACCAGCCCTCCTCCCCACCCTCAAATCAATTCTCCACGCAGCAGCCAGAATAATCATTTTAAGAGGTAAGTCAGATCACCTCTTCACTCTGTTCAACCTTCCATTGCTTGTCGTCACACTTGGATACAACCCAAACCCCTTACTGTGACCTAACAGGTAATAAAACCTGGCTCCTGCCGTCTCCTCCACCTCATCCCATCCCCACCTCCACCACTCTGCCCCCTCCAGTCACTCTCCCTTTTCTCTGTTCCTCAAACTCCAAAGCTCACTTGCCACTTGCTGTTTGTCCTTCTGGAACTTTCTTCCCCTTTCACCTGCCAGGTCCCTTCTGGTGATCCAGGTGTCAGCTCCAATGCCCCATTTTCAGAGAGGCCCTTCCTGACCCAGAAATTTAAATGCCCCCACCCCGCCTGTTTTGTTTTCATAATTATTACCAGTTGAAATGATTCTCTCCATTTTGTTGTTGTTGTTTTATTTCTCTGCTGGAATATCAGATCCATGAGCACAGGACTTTCTGGTTTTGTCAACTCCCCTATCCGCAGTGGTTAGAAAGTTGCCTGACCCATAGTAGTTGCTCAACAAATGTCTGTTGAATGAATGAATGAATGAATAAAGAGGGGGCTGGAGCAGAAAATAGGACCCTCTCAGCAAGGGTATGGTCAATAGCTGTAACAAAGAGACCCCAACACACAGTGGCTTAAACGACCTGGAATTTCATTCCTCTCTCACATAGTCCCGAGCTGGTGGGACAGTTTTAACATCTTTGTCACATGGCTCCCAGGTGTCTGTTCCAATTCCAGACACTTCTCTGCTAATGGGGTGGAGGGAGGGCAGTGAGCAGAGATCTGAACTTGGACTTGTTCAGGGCAAGACTTAGAAACTCACTTTACACTTTTGCTAGCATCCTATTGGCCAGAACTTAGTCAGATGGTCTGACTGAGTTGCCAAGGAGGCTGGGAAATGTAGCCAGGTGTCTAGTTATAATTATATTACTATGGAAAAAGGAAAGAACATATGGGAGCTAGGGCCAACTCACATTCTGCCACTAGTACCCGGGGCTGCCCTCCAGGGCTGAGGCACCTCTTGCTCTGCTTGTTGACCCCAGAGTAGCCTCCCACAAATGCTGGGGGAATGAATGAGAGGATGGAGCCTGGAGAGAGCCCTCTCTGAACCTGACTGAGAGTGAAGCTGGACCCCAGAGCAGGGCGGGACCTTCCATGTGGTGCCAGGGCTGACGCGGGCCCCCTCATGGGACGATGGGCTTCTGGGGTGATGGGGTGGGGAAGCAGAGGGTGGGATGGGAGGCTTGAGGGATACACCAGGAGGTTGGGGCTGAGGCCACGAGGCAAAAGCTGAGACTCTGACTTCTTTCTACCTCTAGCCCCCTGGCATCTTTCTCACCTAAGGCTGGAGCAACTGGGTCCTGGGTTCAAATTCAAATTCTGCCATTCAGCAACTGTGTAACCTGAGGCAAACCATTAAAACTTCTGAGTTTTCATGTCCTCACCTGTAAAACAATAACAGGTCAAAAATGAAACCTATGGGCAGGAAAATGCTGGCTACAGTGTTCCGAGAACTTACTGATGCTGCTCTTTTGTTAAAATATGTTATTTTCTTGAACTATACTACATCATTATTTCATTGAATCAGAATCATGCTGCAAGAGGGGGGATTATTAAGCCCATTTTGCAGATGAGGAAACTAAGGCTGGAACCCAAGGAGCACCCCGACAGTGAGGGGCACAGCGGATGCTAACCGGGGCCGTGGGCCCCCAAAGCCTGTGTTCTTTTCACTACATCCAGAAGCCTCTCGGGTTGATGTTATTCGTGGAAACATCCTTTACCCCGTGCTAGTAACTGATTGTGAACACCTGGAGCGCACAGCACCGAGGATCCTCATAGCCCTGTCCTTGGAGCCAGTGGACATCCCCCTGTAGGGGTGCAAATGTCCCCATCTTATGGGGAGACACGATCCTGAGGCTCATAAAACCAGTGAAGGGATCCAGGGAGGAATGGATGTGGGCAATGAACCTCCCACCCATGGTGCAATGTCCTACCTCCTCTCCTTCCCCTGGACCCACGCCAAGCCTGGGAGCCAGGCGGGCTTTGGACAATACCACCTGAAATTAGAGTGGACAGGCAGGAGGGGTCCGCCCCTTGGCCTTCCCACGGGTCCTCACATAGCTGAGGGATGAGTCACACCCCCCTGGGGGACTTCCCTAATTGCCCACAGGTCTGGGGCTTGACAGAGTCCAGGCCCCAGTGCAGGGAGCTGGGAAGCGCAGTGGCTGGAGCGGCTCATCTGAGGTCAGGGAGGGTGGCATCTTTGTGCCACCTGCTCGGGGGTCTCCAGGGTTCTCTGGGCCAGAGGAGCCAGGCCAGTGCCCTGGGGCCACACGGTGACCCGATCAGCTGGGGGTGACAGAGAACTGGCCGTGCGTTCCATGCAGCCACTCGCCAGCGCTGGGACCTTGGGGACTCACTTACTCTCACGGAATCTGAGCTGCAGCCTCTGAGAAAAGGGGTCACCATGGTGCACTCTTCACAGGGGGTCGGAGGCCCCCAGTGGGATCGTGCTCATCTGCGAGAAAGGAGCTTAGCGCGTGGAAACAGTGTGTGCTGGCTGTTGTGGTGGTTGCTATCCTTGGCCCGGCTTCCAGAACCTCTGCCAGCTCAAAGCCACACACTACAGAGCGGTGCCCGGGGCCGGTTTGATTAGCCAATGAAGCATGTAACCCCATTTTTAAGGGGCCCTTCATGTCCCTCGTCGCCAGCCTCGGTTCTTATTTGGGGACCTGGAGGATTTCTGGTCTTCGGGGTGTGCCCTGTAGAGATGGCTGAGCCTGGGGAGAGGCAATCTATCCCCTTGCATCAGTGGGTTTCTGTCGGATGGCCGAGGGATGAGGTGGGGGCTTCGTGGAGGCCGTCGGGTGGGGACGCTGGCTGGTGAGACGTGTCTCCTCCCAGCCTGCGTCCCTTCCTGGTAACAGCCTGGCAGAATCTGCATGGCTTGGTGCCCTCTAAGCAGTGAACCCTGGGATGACGTTTGGGGGCCTGCGTTTTAAATGATCCACACTTTGTGGCCCTCTCCTTGCTGGGTCCACCCAGGGCCACTGTCAGGATGTGGCCATCCTTGCGCTGAGTGTGGTGGCCACGAGATGCTAGAGGACTGTGGGGCTGATTCACAGCACGCTTCGGGTGAGACGAGGCCCCCTCTAGGCCTCAGTGTTCCCCTCTGAGAAATGGGTAGGGGCTCTCTGGCTCCCTTTGCCTTCCTTGGAGAAGCCGAGGACGTGGAGGCTGGCCTGGACTGGTGAGTGTGCCTGGAGGGACCCACGACAAGCTCCTGGTTTGATTGGAGCCACGCTGGGTCCTTCAGGACTCCCCGAGTTGGTGGCCTTGTCCACACTGCAGAGGGTGGTCAGCACACAGGAGGCCTCCCCCCCAACTGAGCTCAGCACAGCGGCTGGAGGGCCCCGCTCCCTGGAAAGGAGTGAAGATTAATTAAAGTTGTCAGGGCCTAAGTAAAATCACCAATGTCAATTTCCTCCCTCTGGTTCTTGCTGTCAGAGTAAATTGGACAGTCATTACCTAATACGCAGCCTATTTTCCTAATATTTCATGGACCCTGAAGCGCTGAGGGGAACCAGGGAAGGTGAGGCCCTTCAGAGTGGGAGAGAGAGGGAGCCCTGTGGGGCTGAGGCTGTCCTGGCAGGGTGACCCCACCTCGGGCCACTCCCTGGGACGGTGGCCTCAGGAGGGAGCTCAGATGACAGCCCCTAGGGGCCAGGGGTGGGGCTCTGTCCACAGAGACCATTGTTCTGACCCAAATGAAGCTGAAGAATGGCTGGCTCCCTGGGCGCCTTCCACCTACTGGCAACAACTGCCAGCGACCTCCTGGTGCCGCAGCAACTGGTGCCTCCATGGACTGTGGTTCCAGACCAGGCTCAGAGGCAGCCTCAGTGTCTTAATCTGAGAAATGGGAATGAGTGGAAAAGCTTCACGGATCACAGTGGATAGTTCACACCTGCCCGGGTGCAGGCATCTCCACAGGGGACACTCAGAACCCCAGAAGTCCTTCAAGTCCCCACGTAAGAACCGAGGCTGGTGACAGGGCCCTCCCACGTGGGATGACATACCTCCACGGCTTATCAAAGCAGCCCTGGGCACCACCCTTCAGTGTGTGGCTTTGAGCTGGCGGAAGGTTCTGGAAACTGGGCCAAGGATAACAACAGCAGCAACAATAACAGCCAGCACATACCGAGTGGCTGTATATGTGTATGTGTGTGTTTAAAAGCTCCTCATTTCACGGTTACTTGTGGGAGGGCTTTGGCTGGGAGCGGGCAACGAGGACCTTCTGGGGTGTTGGAAACGTCTGGTTCTTGGTCGGAAGGCGGGAATGCCCGATGTAGACAAACAGAAACACTCACCGAGCTGTGCCCCTCGGCTTTGTAAGCTTTGTTCGTGTGTGTCCTGGGGTTCGGCAAGGGTCCGATTTTTCACTAAAAATTTTGGAAGGCAAGAGGACTTTCATTATTATTGGATCTGGGTGTGGATTTAAAGAGCAAGGAGCGCTCTGTGATGCTCTGTCCCCTGGAAGGGGGGGCTCTGGACTGGTGCCACCCTGGGCCTGGCACGGCACACTGTGCTCCACGACACTCTTATTTTCACCCTCTTGGTAAGGCCAGGAAGTAGGGGGGACCCTTGCCATTTCAGGGGCAGTGACGAGGTATGGGGTTGGGAAGGCCAGCAATGCAGCCAGCTTGGCCAGGTTTGCATCCTGGCTGCTACCTCTCACCTCGGGGGTCATGGGCAAGCCAGCCTCCGTCTGCACACCTGTGACACAGAGGGTGATGACAGAACCTGCCTTGGAGGGACGTCCTGAGGCACTGGGGGTGGGAATGTCAAATGGTGACGCTGCTATGCAAACAGTATGGTGGTTACCCAAGAAATTAAAAACAGAATTCGCAGATGATCCAGCGATCCCGCTTTGGGTGCATATCCAACAGAATTGAAAGCAGGGCCTCAACGAGATATTTATATACCTATGTGTGCAAGGTAAACACGATCAGGAATGTGAAGTGCTTGGTTCAGACAGAGAGAGAGCGGAAACGATGTGAAAACTATGGCCATGTGGCGTCCCTTCCCTGGGCCTTGGCTTGTGATGGCCGGGGGGAGGGGCCAGTCTTCCCTGCCTGGGTGGTGCCCACTGATAGGTGTCACCCAAACCGGAAACCCCTTCCCCTGCCGCTCCTGGAAGTGCCCTGCCTGCCCCAGGGATGGGAGTGGGAGGTTTTCTGTAAAGCAGCCTCCTGTGTTCCCCTTTCAATCGGAGCCTGAAAGGATCCTGAAGGGATACATACTCTTTCCCTTTTCAAGTTCCCAGCCAGCCCCGAGGCCTTGTAAGCCCACCAGGTGAGACTCCGGGCCCTGGAGGAGAGGTGCCCTCCATCTGATGGGGTAGCCCGGGTCACTTGGGGATGGAGGGGGAAGGTGCTCGTTTATTTTTACACAAACACTTCGAGTTCCTACGTGTGCCGGGCCCTGCTCTGGGCTTCAGGAAAGTCACAGACAACAGAAGCCAGGGCTGCCGCCTCCAGGGAGCCCACGAGCAGCCAGGATCTCTGCGATACAAGAAATAAAGTGACAGAGGCTGTGGGGGAGGGATGGATGGAATGAAACTGGCAAGGACACTGTGAACGGCTACCACCAAATCTTAAACTGTAATGTTAGTCTTTACCAAAGGTCTCCTGAGCAAGGTGGCGGGGGAGGGGATTCTATTATGCATGAGCAGCAAACTGCCCAAAGACCCTCTGTAGACACTCATGCTGCACCTTTGGGGTCCCCCAGAGCATAGCAGCTCTATACCAGTTCTCTCTCTCCTCCTCCCATCCCTGTCACAGGATAAAGAAGCTGGTTGGGGTCAGGGAGGGAGTCGGAAGGTAGATGTCTCAGACTCCACCCACCTCAGCTTTGTGACTTGGCAGCCAGTGATTTTACTTCCTCAGCCTCTGTTTGCCGATCTATGAAATGGGGGTGCTTGCTTGGGGCCCTGCCCATCTCAAACATCGCCCAGTGTATACGCTCCATCACACCAGGGCTTGGTGTTGTTCACCTCCAATCCCCGGGACACGGCGAAGAGTGGGGACCTAATATGTATTTGTTGAATTAACATGTGTGGTAGAGCCAAGTGTGGGGTGGAACCCTGAATAGACAAAACAATCTTGAAAACTGAAGAACCCAGACTTCCTGATTTCAAAACCTACTGCAAAGCTACAGTAACCAATGCAGTGTGGTATTGGCATACAAACAGACATATGGGTCCATAGAACAGAACAGAGAGCCCAGAAATAACCCTCAGATATATGGTCCAGTGATTTCGACAAGGGTGCCAAGATTATTAAACGAGGGAGAGGACAGTCTTTTCAACAAATGGTGCTGGGAAAACTGGGTATCCACACGCAAGAGAATGAATTTGGACCCTTACCCAACCCCTTATGCCAAAATCAACTCAAAGTGGATCAAGGACCTAAATGTAAGACTTACAACAGTACAATTCTTGGAAGAAATCATAGAACAAAAGCTTGATGACATTGGATTTGGCAATGATCTCTTGGATGTGACACCAAAGGCATAGCAACAAAAGAAAAATAGACAAATTGGACTTCGTAAAAATTTAAAACTTTTCTTCATCAAAAGACACTCTTTCACCGAGTAGAAAGGCAACCCACAGAATGGTAGAAAATATTTGCAAATCATCTATCTGATCAGGGATTAATATCCAGGATACATAGAGAACTCCTAAAATGCAACAACAGAGAAACAACCCAATTCAAAAGCGGGCAAAGGACTTGCACAGACATTTCTCTAAAGATGGTGGGCCAATGGCCAGTAAGCACATGAAGAGATGCGCAACATCATTAATCATTAGGGAAATGCAACTCAAACCCACAGTAAGGGGTCACTTGACACCTATTAGGATGGCTACTCTCAAAACAACAAACAAATAGGAAAATAGTATGGAGGTTCCCCAAATAATTAAAAAATGGAACTACTATAGGGCTCAGCAATTCTACTTCCGGGAATATACCCAAAAGAACTGAACGCAGGGTCTCAAAGAGATACGTGTGTATCCATGTTCAGAGTAGCATTATTCACAGTAGCTGAGCTGTGGAAGCAACACAGTGCCCATCAACTGATGAATTAATAACCAAAATGTGGAACCTTGAGAACAATTTTCTGTGAAATAAATCATTGCAATATGATAAACACTGTGTGATCCCACTGTGATGAGGTACTTAGAATAGTCAAAATCCTAAAGACAGAAAATAGAATGGTGGTTGCCGGGGACTCCGGGGAGTTCTTATTTACTTGGTGCAAATTTTCAGATTTTCAAGATGAAAAGAATTATGGGGATGGATGGTGGCGATGGCTGCACGACAAGGCGAATGTATTTAATACCGCTGAGCCACACACTGAAAAATGACTAAGATGGCCAGTTTTATGTTATGTGTGTTTTAACATGATTAAAAAAACACGGGAGAGTGCTCTGTCAACTCTGAAACCAGGCATGTCTTGGGCATCGTTACTTTTACTCCTGGGTTAGACCTGAAAGAAAGACCGGGGCCCTCCCTCAGTTTGGGGCGGGGGGACCGCTCATGCAGGGGGAACAGCTGAAGCAAAGACAGTGGTGGGAGTTTATGTTTCTCCTTTCTCAACAGAATGTGGGTCTAGAGCAGCACAGGGTCCCTGAGTCCAGTGACACCAGCCAGAGGGTCTTGATGGACATGGACGGCTCATGGCTGCATCTAGGAGCCTCAGTCTGCTGCTCTCTAAGTGCCCCAACGTTCCCAGAGCTTCACAGGATTGCTTAATCCCCCCAATTTAGGCAGCCTTTAATTCGTGGGGACACGGTAGTGGCCCCGGGGTCTGAACTAGAAATCAAAGCGGAAAGGCATCATTTACCATAAACAGGCCGGTCCCCAGTGGGTTCTGAGGCCCAGGGACGAGGAAACCCCGAGTTCCTCGGGCACTCACAATAGAAGCCACCAGCACACAGGGCTGGCGCCCAAGGCCCTGACCACGCGGCCCCTCCCCGCTCCTGTCTGGAGGAGCCTCTGAGGAGCTGGGAGGAGCTCAGGACAATGGCGGGTGGAGACCAATGGCTGGTGTTGGAACAATGGGCCCCAATCAATGCAGGAGACTCCTCCTTTGTTCTGAACTGTAACTGAAGAATAAAAAGAATAAAAAAGTATATTTTAAAGACAAAAATAAAATAAGTCCTGGGAGTCTGCGGTGGAAGTAAATCCCACCAGGGAAGAGTAGCCCGATCCCTCTGTTGGGCGTGGGCTCTGCCCCAAGTCCCCACAGAAGCTCCCAGTCCTCAGTGGTGTTTTGGGAAATGATTAACAACCAGGGCTGGAGGGAGACAGCCCTGATTTGTGGCGTTTGCTGATTCCTGTGGTGTAAATACTCCTTCCCCAGGCCAATCTCAAGCTGCCAAGGTACCCGGCTAAACAGGGTGGTGCTGAGAGTTAGAGCAAAGTGCTCACTCAGCACATGGCACGATGCCTGCTCGTCACTTTTTACTGTCATCCTTCGTTTCGGGGTCCAGGTGACCTGGGCCACAGTCACCGTGGCCCTGGCTGCATCCTGCCCTGAGGATCTGGCCCCCGTTGCCACCCCTCGCTGGCATCACTAGCAACTGGCTTCTCTGGTCTTTCGCCAGCAAGATTCAAACCCAAATCTGGGCGCATTTGTTGGAAACGTTAATGAAGCTCTATAGGGAGGAGGGGGCTTCCCCCTGTTCCCAGGGCGGCCTGGTTGTTGACGGAGTAAGTGCTCACGTGAAACGCCCAGTCACCTCACACTTTCCCGGCGCTCCACAGGCTCCGGGCTCTGTGTTTGATCACTTGGAAAGGGCTTGACACAGACAATCCAGGTTTGGAAGCAGACGGGAAAGAGCTGAAGATCAAGCATTGGGCGAGGTGCTCCTGGGACCCCAGCCCGGCCCGGGGAGCCGGGTGAGCAGCCATACCAGCCTGGGGCTTCTCGCCAGACACAAACCAGGCCCGGAAATGGGTGAGGGCGGCCAGGAAGCCAGCCTGGCCAGGTGCCAAGGAGGCCTGGCGATCTCTGGGAGCTGCCCCTGAACCTCCCTCATTCCCAGCAGACACCCTGCCCTCTGCCTGGGAGGCCATACCCTTCACCCACAGGGGCCAGAGCAGTGACGGGAACACAGGGTACAAGCACACCTCTCTTGCCCAACTTTGCTGAGTCACCTGCATCACTCAGTCATATTCTCTGATGTGGGCCCTTTGACAGTTTTGCAGCGTCAAAGGCTTAGCTGAGTCATCCTCACAACCATCTCTGAGAGTGAGAGAAAGGCCCACTTCACAGATAAGAACATAGAGGCCTGGCGAGATCCAGTGGCTCAGCTGTGAGCTGCATCCTGGCCACTTGATTGGGTCTTCAGATGCATGGTCTGGTGCTCTTGCAGCCAGGCCACCACGGTTCCCATGAGAGTGACTGGGTGTGTGGCACTGGGCAGAAGGAAAATTCATTTTTGTTCTTCTTCCATAGGGGCTGTGGCCACCCCAAGTCTGGCAGCTTTACAAGAACAGGCTTATAAATTCAGCAACACCCCATAATCCTTTTATGGGGCCCGCTGTGGTAATGGACATTCATCAGCTCTCCCAGGCTAAGTCTGGTGGGCCCTGGGAGCGAGAGGCTGAGGGGAGCCAGGCCCTCATCGGCCCACCCCCCCTGGCTGAGTAAATAGTCCCAAGGGAGGGGCAGAGCCACAGATTTCTGAACAATGCCAGGACTCTCAGCCAGGGGGCGCTGTGCAAACAGGGCAGGAAAGGAAGCCACAGAGGAGGACAATGGATCAAAACCCCTCTCTGGACACCAGCATTGGCATCACATTTGTGCCCACTCAGGAGCTCGTGTGAGCTGGGGAGAGGGGAAGTGTGTCTCAGATTCAAATGTCCAGGCCCCTCTCCAAACCTCCTGATTCTGAATCTCTGAAGGTGGCCCAAGGAGCGAGCATTTACTAAGAGCCTTCATGCCGCTAACATTTCATACCCACTGATTAGGAAGAGGCCAAGGACAATGGCAGGGAAGTGGGAGGTGGGTAAGATTCTTAGGCTGTCCATTTACTTACTCGACACACATCTGGCCTGGATCTCAGACAGGTGCCTCCATGTGGGTAGGTAGGGCCTGTCCACCTTCACCTGCACAGTGACCTTGGACCCCTCCCCTCCCCTCTCTGCCAAATGGGAGAAGTGTCTGCAGCCCCGGCCAGGTCAACCACCTTGTGATTCAATTAGGGTGTAGATAACTAACCAGGACACCTTGTATCACTTAGCATTCCAGCTGTTAGGGGTTGAGAAAATCCTGGGGAGACCTTGGACCCAGGGCTCCAGGCTAAGGACCTTTCACCTCCCCCTTTTCAGCTGCCAAGAGCGGGCAGAGCATGGCAGCACCTCCCTCTGTCTAAGTGGAGCTTGGCGGGGGGGGCAAGCAAGGGGGTTCGGCAAGGTCTCGCCTGGAGGCCAGACTCTACCATACTCTTGAGGCCCTCTAAGCAGCAGTATTGCTTGTGGGGCCCGACTTTAGGTTTTGTTTAGTCAGATCTGGGTTTTAACAGGTTACTAAATGATCTGTGTAATGTGTCCATGTGTTCGCAAACGTGTGTGTGTGTGTGTGTGTGTGTGTGTGTGTGTGTGTGT